CCAAATGTCTGATGCTTATCCAGAATATATAGAAGAATTTAGTATAGAGATATCTGATTTCAATCCAATTGGTCCTACAGCCTATATACCTTTACCAGAAACTTTACCGAAACGTAATAATGGAATTATTAATATTCAAAATAATGATGACTGGTGTTTTGGATGGTGTATTCTAGGAGCTTTACATCCAGTTAAAATTCATCCAGAAAGAAATCTGCATCGGCTATATGGAGGATTTGTGGAGGAACTTAATATGAATGACATTCCAGTTCCAGTACCAGTCTCAACACCAGTTTATAAAAAGTTCGAAGAAAATAACCCTAAAATCAGTTTATGTGTTTATGAATGGCACAACCAGAATGAGTGTCTTGAATTTCGCTATGTTTCAGAAAGAGAGGAAATGAATACAAGCAAGTAAATCTTCTAGTAATTACAGAAGAGAATAGGGGCCACTACTGTATCATTAAAGATCTTCACAAGTTAGTGTACAATCATAGCAAGCATAAAGGGCGAAAATACATTTGTCGTTATTGTCTTCATGTATATTCTTCGGAGAAAAGATTTAAGGAGCATTTACCAAAGTGCAAAGGTCTAAATGAGGCTCCGCAAAGGCCAAAAGTGCCAGGAAAAGATGATAATGAAAAGTATTTTCGTAATTATAAATGCATGCAACCAAATCCATATCGTATTTTCTGAGATCTAGAAATGTTAACCGAAAAGTTAACTCCAGAAGAAAAAATGAAATTAACCAATACAGAAAGATTACAGATGCATAAGCCGTGTGGATACTGCTATATAATAGTTCGTATGGACAGTTCACTTAATTATGAGGTAGTAAGTCATGATCTATATAGAGGGTCAGATACCTTAGAAAAATTCGTAGAAAGAATCGAAGGAGAGCTTCTAAATATTCAAGAAGATTTATCTGCACCAGCCGAAATTATTATGGCACCTGGAGATCTTAAAGCATATAATGAATCAACTGAATGTTGGATTTGCAAAAAACCTTTTCTCAAGCCATCATCAGAAGCATTGCAAAAATTCGAAGAAGCTAAGCACAGATTATTAGAAGTCATCTAATGGGAAGCAAGCATGGGGAGAGAGCACCCAGAAAAGAAAAAGATACAAAAAGAATATCGATAAGCTTTAAGTGAACTTAATCGTAAGGTAAAAGATTATGATCATATAAGTGGGAAGTACCGAGGTCCAGCTCATGATACTTGTAATAAAAAGTTACGAATAGGATCATTTGAGACAAAAGTACCTTTGATCTGTCATAATTTCCGGGGATATGACTCTCATCCACTCATGAAAGTTGTGAGCAAGTTTACGGCTAATAAGCTAAAATGCATCCCAGAAAATATAGGAAAGTATAAAGCAATGGATGTTGGACAGCTTCGATTCTTAGATAGCTTTCAGCATATGGGAATGGGGCTAGATAAATTAGTTGAATGTTTAGGAGGAAAGCTCGAAAAATTCCCCCTAACTATCAAGCACTTTACCGAGAAAGGCTATTCGATGGATAAGATCAAGCTTTTATTCCGAAAAGGAGTCTTTCTATATGACTGGACAAATGCATGGGAAAAATTCAACAGAACATGCCTCCCATCTAGAAAGAACTTCTATTCACTTCTTAGTCAGCAAATATCAGTAAGGAAGACTATGAATACGCTCAAAAAGTATGGCAGACATTTGAGATGAAAAGTTTCGGAGAATATCACGATCTTTACCTTGAAACAGATGTACTATTACTTGCCGATGTGTTCATGAATTATACTATTATGTGTTTGCAAGATGATGGCTTAGACCCCTCTCATTACATCTCAGCATCAGGAATGTTCAATGATTCTCTTTACAAAAGTAGCAAGGCAGAACTAAAACTCATGACAAATATGGATGAATATCTAACAGTAGAAAATGGCATTTGTGGAGGCATGACAATGGTGAGTCATCGATATGCCAAAGCAAATAATCCAAAATGTCCTGACTATGATTCTAATAAGCCAAAGTCTTGGATCCTATATGAGGATATGAATGCTTTATATTCAGGTGCAATGACCCAATACATGCCTACGGAAATCTTGGGTAAGGTAAGTCCAGAAGAACTTCCCGATATTCAAAGTATTGCACCTGATGCAGAAATAGGCTATTTGCTTGAAGTTGATCTAGAAATTCCAATACACTTA